TTTCCCCTTTCCCCCTTTCTTTCCTCTTCCCCTCCGTCGTGTGAGGGCTCTTCCCACCACGGCAACGGGGATGCTTCCACAAGATTTTTTTCTTGTCGTTTCGCTCTGAAAAATGCTTTTTCTCAGGTCCGGAGGCACAAAAAAGCCAACTAATAATGTCAGAGACTTTACCCTGATATTATAAAAATGATGAGATTTGGGAGGGGAAAAAAAAAGCTTTCTATTGCAGTTTTTAATTGATTTACTTGTTTGGTATTGGATAAGATTTTTGCCCCATCTTTCCTGTCTKTGGTGTRAAACACCYGGAATCTCAGAATCTCCCARTTTGGGAGGGATYTCTGCATCCCACTYCTGGYCCTGCACAAGACACCCCAAAATATCACCAGGTGCTTGGGAGAGTTGTCAAACTTGTGTAAATGCAGATAAATGAAAAACCCCCGTTGCTCTTTTAATTGATGTGGGACATGATTGGTGTGGGAGACTGATTTATGGGGATGGAAGGCAGAGTTGTATATTGGCTAAAGAGCACCACTGTGGGTAGCTTCTCACTCATGTTTTCCTGAATGTTTYTCCTACAGCTGCAGGGAAATCCACCTTTGTGAATATTCTGAAGCAAGCTGGTGAAGAGTGGGAAGTGGTTCCTGAGCCTGTAGCTAGATGGTGCAATGTCCAGCAAAGCTCTGGAGACGATTGTGAGGTAAAAAAGGGAAAAATAAAGTCAAATGTTTTTCTAAATTCAGAGTACCAGTGTATCCAACAGACTTTTTCAGACTCTCTGTCATAGCAACACTTTTGCTGATTGCTGTCACAATGTTTGAGTTGCTCTTTTCCTGTTTGTTTGGTGTATTATGGAATAAATGTTACTCAATATCAGATGTAACTCTTTGTCACTCTTGGAAATGACAAGAGTTACTTGTATCCACTGTGAGCTAACCAGGTGAGTGCAAAGGGTTCCTCTGCCACCAAACATGGGCTCTGAAATGTCTGGCAAATTAAAAACTACTGCTAACTTGGTTTTAGTGGTGGGGTTTCTTCCCAGCTGCCTGTAATTCCATCGGCCAKCCAGCTGCTACTTCCTGTGCAAGTGGCTTTTGAGGAGCTGGAGATCTTTTTTAGACCTGACAAAAAGCACGGTGTATTTTGATAAACTCAATTTAAAATGTAACGGGGACATGTTGCTCCTGAGTTCTAGCTGCATTTTTTCAGAATTAGGCAGTGCTCAGTTTGTTTTCCCTGTGAATGCAGGAGCTGACCACGTCCCAGAAGAGTGGAGGGAATGTGCTGCGTATGATGTACGAGAAGCCAGAGAGGTGGGCTTTCACCTTCCAGACGTACGCGTGCCTCAGCAGGATCCGGGCACAGCTCAAATCCCTGGATGGCAAACTCCAGGATGCACACAATCCCGTGGTTTTCTTCGAGCGCTCTGTCTACAGCGACAGGTATGTGGGGCTGGAGTCATCAAGGTGCAAATCAACCTTCTCCCAAGTCAAATCACAGAATCACAGGATAGGTGGGGTTGGAAGGGAGCTCTGGATGTCACCCAGTCCAAGGCCACCAGCCAAGGCAGGGTCACCCGGAGCAGGTGACGCAGGAATCATCCAGGTGTTTGAAATATCTCCAGCAGGGGAGACTCCATGACCTCCCTAAGCAGCTGTTCCAGAGCTTGACCACCCTCATGGAAACAAGTCCTTCCTCATGTTGAGGTRGAACATTGTGTGTTTTAGTCTAAAAACAATTTTAAAAAGCATAAATAAATGTCCTATTTTGTGTTTCTGGATTCAGAAGGTGAGACTTGATAACTGAATCCCATTCTGTAATCCTTAGGTGTTCCCCATGTCGTAATATATTGCAAATAATAATGTGCTTTAATTTATTTTAAGTAAATGACGCAGTGTACAAGCCAGTTGTGTTCTGTGGGTTATTCCTACACACCTGAGATGCAAATGTTGGTGGTCTTTGTGTGCACAGCTCCAGGAGGAGAATACCAACCGTTTAATTCCTCTCCAAAAGTTTGTCAGAGKTACTACAGTGTCACCACTCAGCTTCTTCTCTAGTTACTGTACTTTAGGAATACCAAGTGATTCCCATGTCCAAGTGYGTTTTTGTTTCCATCACTTTCATGTCCACAGATACATCTTTGCTGCTAATTTATACGAGTCTGACTGCATGAGCGAGACCGAGTGGACAATTTACCAGGATTGGCACGACTGGATGAATAAACAGTTTGGCTCAAGGCTGGCGCTGGATGGGATCATTTATCTCCGAGCCACTCCTGAGGTGAGGGATACAAATGTTACTGCACACAGAACGAGCATCCATGCTCTGGGCCTTGTCCCCTCCTGATCACAGTTCAACTCAGGCTGCAGTGTTCCCCTGAAGGCTGCAATACTTCAGCTATGACTAAGCCTGGAAGTACTTAAAAAAAGTTATTTCCAATGTAGACTGTGTATGTTAAAGTCAACTGTGGTGGTAATGATTTTCTAATTTTAAAAACAGAATACATCAGAGCAGTAAACCAGCAAGTACCTCTGGAATAAAGCAAGCAACTCCAGGAAAGTACAAAATAGATCTAGGAATAGCTGTTACATAGGGAATTTAGCCTAACAGGGAATCGATACAACAGTTTACAGTAATGTTAGAGCTGATGTGGGGTGGCCTGTGAAGCCTCTACACCTGGGATGATGGAGCTAAGCCAGGTGAAAGCACACCCTGTACGCAAGGCCTTATGACTGTGCTTTGATCTCGGGCCATCTAATATTTGTTTAAAAGGAGAGAACAGAATAATATTTCTTGAGTATGAAACTTGCTTGAACAAAAGAAAAACATGAGTTTGGAAGAGCTGTAATTAACTTACAGATCACTTCCATATTTCCTTGCTTACAGCTTTCATGCCTTTGGTTTTGTTATGGTTCTAAAAAACCATGGAAGTTAACATGCTGAAGTAACTGTGTTTGGTTTTTTTCTATTTAAGTAAAGAATGTATATGTAAACTACAAAGTATGACACTTAAAACAATTTTGGGTTGCTGAGGCTTTGGGTATGCTCAGGGTGGCAACAAATTATTTAAAACACTGGAAAACAGTTCCTAAGAGCCAGAAACATATAGTGAGGCTTTGAAATGCTTCTCTGTAATGTCAAACGGATGTTTCTGTGCTCTTGGCATGCAATACACCAATTCATCTATTTTGATTTAAAATTTTTTGCCTTTAGAAATGCTTGAATAGGATTTAYTTGCGTGGAAGAGATGAAGAACAAGAAATCCCCATTGAATATTTGGAGAAGCTTCACTACAAACATGAAAGTTGGCTCCAGCACAGGACACTGCGGTAGGGTTTGTTGAATGGTTCCTTGAGGATGGATAAATCTTTAGTGTGTTCTGGAGTGGTTTTTCCACCAGTGAAACTTCAGTTTTTCTTATGATACGTAAATTTAAACTGCAGGCACATTTCTATCAGTGTCTTTCCAGCATGTTCATTATTGCTTGGACATGCAGCGTGCTCCAAGTTCTCTTCACGCAGAGCTCTGAGCAGCAGAGACTTCAGCTGAACTCACTTTAATGCACAGTGTTCTGTTATTCAGTTAGATGCTGGGGGAGCAGAATGTCCAGAAATAACTGATGTGTCCCAGGAGTCGCACTGTAAATTCAGAATTCTTGGCTGTAATGTAAAGATGCAGTTCTTTTTGTGGGATTCTTAACAAATGAAAATGGTGACAGGGATTTAATGCTCTCTATTTCCTGCTRCTAATATTTGCTTTGTTCCTCTCCCAATGCAGAACAGATTTTGACTATCTACAGGAAATTCCGATTTTAACGCTCGATGTTAACGAAGACTTCAAAGGGAAAAAGGACAGATATGATCACATGATCGAAAAGGTAAAATTTCACAAGTGAACTCATGATTCAGGTTTCTCTAGAAATACTCTTCACTGTCTAATCATCCTTTTGRAATATCTAAGTCACAGAGTTCCATTCAAATTATGAACAGTTTTATAGCCTACTGCAACATGTTTTTTAAAGCAAGGCCAAACCTTTATCATTTAACTGCACTGGTGTTTGGTACTTGAATCCCAGTGGGATTCTAGCGAGGACAACTTGACTTTCATCTGAGTAGCTGCAATCACTTACAGACCTCAGCAATGGTATGCACACATTTTTCCATTCTTCAGAAATAAACTGTTTTCTCATGAGAAAAGCAGCTTTATGCTTTGATCTCCGTCGATCATCCAGGAGTGGAAATGTTCACCTGATTGAAACCAGTCTTCCTGGTCGAGCTTGTTAACTGATGGAATGACCAGACATGGAGCTGTGGAGGGAGCATGCTACCCATCTGCACAAGATGAGATAAGGCCAAGCTCAGGCAACTAAGTATGGATTTTGGAAGTGTTTGCTCCGGCCTAGCTGTCAGGTTACCTGGGAGCAGCTTATGGCCTGTGTTGACCCTACTGTTTGGCATTTCCTAAATGGAGCCAGGGAACTGATACACTTAATGAGGCTGGCTGTACTGGACTCTGGTGTGTGCTGTATGGGGAGCCAGACCCCRTGTGCTTCTTTCTGGCTTCTGTTGTGATACACATCCTGAAAATGTGTTTGGTGTGTAAATCCTGACAGGGTTTGCATGCAGGGTTACTGGTGCTACTCTCCAAAGGGAAGTGTGACTTTCTTGTGATGCCWTTCCAGTTAGTCTTGGCACACTTGTTCCCTTCTCCACAGGAAGGGATTTGACCTTTTTTTTTCCCCACCTCTTTGAGCCCTGACCTGAGAAGGGCTGCAGCTGGAGAGTATGATCCAAGATCTGTTTCCATTTCACATCAAGATTTTGGACAAAACGTTTACAGATGGGCTCTGTGTAGGAGAGCCTTTGCCAAAAGAATAGCACCATGTTCTCTAGTAAGTGGTGGGTTCCTTTCCATGGAGTAGCCTGGCCTGAGTGGACAGAGAGCAAAGTGCCTCCTGTTCAGGCTTTATCACAGCCTAGTTCCTAGGATGTTCCTGAAACTTAAAGGCAGGAGTTGTGAGCCTAGCATTGATCTCCAGTATCAGAGTTTCTCCGAGCACTGTGGTTTTGATAGRTATTGCCTTACTATTTGCCAGCCTCAGATTCCAAGGGACAGCCTGATCATATGCACCCGGTTGTTCACTGGCATTAAATCTGGCTGGTGTTCAGGCAGTGGGTGTGACTTGGTGGCTTCCAAATGACAGCTTTCTTGAGGTGGCCATTATCCTCCTCCTGTTTGGGTGACACCTGCTTGTAATGCAATTCCTTTGTGATGGAAGGCTGTAGTACAGGACCACGGGAGGAGTGAGCATCATTCCATTGTGTCTCCCTCCACCTGCGAAATTACAGGTACCATGTCTGGAAGTGTTCTTGATGAGCAGGTAATGGCACAGCCGAGCCAAGCCTCTTTTTCCCTGTTTCTTTAGGTTGTAGTAAAACACAAAGCAGAGGAGAGGTAAATATAGTTGCTGTCTATTTCTGTTGGTAAACACTTAGTGTGATTGACAATATTTGTTTCTTTTTACAGGTCAAGGAATTTTTGAGCACACTATAACCCTCTTTGAAGCGCAGAGTCAAACCATTCCACACATCTGTGCCATCAGTCTCAAGTGCAGCTTCTTCCTGGTTTTATAGGAGCCTATGGAGAGGCACGACTCAGTCCTGGTGATTTGGTTGTGAGGAGCAAATAAACTTTGTGAATAGGGCAATTACTAAATAAATCGGTACGAATGCTCAGTATTATGTTAGGTAACATGCACAGATTCTGAAGAGACACAGATTCTGGGCATTCCGAGATACTGCGCTAGCTTTTGATTTGACTGATGAATTCTAGAGTATTTTATAGATTTTTCAATTTCTTTTGTGCCCAACTGCTGTTTTAATCGTGAAGAAGGTAGTGGGTTTTTAGATCTCCTCTAAGTGTTTTTTTAATCGCATGAATTTCTAATCAATGTTTTGTTGTTCCAAGGAAGTAAAAGGTAAAAAACATTTTTGTTGCTGAGGGAATTTTAATATAACCTGTAATTTTATATTTTAAGGTGCAAAAAGATTTTGTTTGATGCTTTTGATAGAAGTTCTTCGTGGAATGCACTGAATTGAATCCAAATGTGACTGYAATTCTGTACATCTCAAATGAGTTTTTTTATCTATTTCTTTTATGCACTGCAAACTAGGATATTTGAAGCTTTCTGTTGTCTAGCATGTTTGGGAGTTTTTTACTGATTTTTTTTTAAGCTATTCTGAAAACAGTGCTGGTTTTGTTGCTGGTCTCTCCTCTTCTCCTGGAGGGCAATATATTTGCTTGCTGGATACTGCACTGGGCAGAAGGGAGTTTTGCAAATGGCCTCCATCTGTGAATGACTTGTTGCTAAACAGTCCCATAATCGCATTAGGGATGTCAGAGGTGGTTTCCTGCCTTTGTTCCAGCTGCTCCATGTGYTCACTGGGCGTTCTGGGAGCTTATCCCAGCCCTGCACTGTTGGAAGTAGGTTTTTCTGTTCCACCTGCCTGGAGTAAAAAGGGAAGACCTTTGTGGAGTAGCTGCTGCCTGAGCCTCTTGTTCCAGGTGGAGAAAATAGAAACTTTTCAGGCTACCCATCTCAAATGCTGGGTTGTATGAGCTGCTTTGTTCTGCATTAAACACTTTTGAGTGTGCAATCAGCTTTTGAAGAGAAAATTTTATTGTAAAATTTTATATTGTCCACAGTGGTGCTTCTGCTACCTGCTTGCTGGAGATGAGATTTCTTGCTTTATGGCTGGAATTGTGCTGGCATTTTCTGACCATTTGCTGAAAAATAAAAGTGGTTGGAAAGAMTTTTTTGGTGCTTAATAGTATTGGCTTCTTGTCTCATAAAAGAAGTAATATTGTGGATTGCTCGTATGTAATTCTGGTACAGTGGATGAATTGAAAGTTATGGATTCTGATTGTATTTGGTGTAAAAAAGTTCTCTCGCATTTCTGAGAATCTGTGACTTCAGATTTTTTTCACGTGTTGGAAATGAACTTATGGCACAGAGACACAGGATTACATAAAGTGCATCGTGTGTGTGACAGTGCTCAGTACAAGAGCATTGTATAATAATTAGGTTGTAGTGTAGCAGTAGTCTGGCAGAAAATCTTGTGCAGGACTTGAAGGTTGCACAGTAAAAAGAWAGATTTTAAGATCTTTGCTCCAGAAAGGAAGTGAGGTGGAATGGATGAAGATTCAGTTCAGATTTACTTGAAACACATAGTACAAGCTTTTAAAGCATTCTTGGCAAGAATCTGAASAGTAACAACTTAGTTTGACTAACAGTGCAATTATTTCTACAGTTTCAGCTGTCAAAATTGTGGATTTAATTACAGGAATTGGAATGACAGTGCTCATCGCAAGGAAGTAAACATGTCTGAGTTCTAATAAAGGCTTCTTTTGAAACCCATCACAGAGCACACAGAAATTCTGTGGCAGGTTATCTGCAGCCCATTCCAGAAAGCTTTAGAAAATCTCTGCCTGCCAAGTTTGGGTTGGAAGGAGCAAAGTCATGACCAATTATAAGAATGTTTTTAATTGCTTGGAGAAAAAAAAACAATACCAAACCCCAAACACACACCCCAGTGGCCCCCAAGCTTCTGGGGGATCTGAAAGTGGCTGGYCTGGAGCACACGAAGCTGCAATTATTTGTATGTAGGATAGACACAGCACAGACAGCAGCAGAGATGGCCTGAGACTTGTCTGCCTGTGCCTCGGCTTAAACCTCAGTTCAACAGTACCTCAGCCTTCCAAATCTGTCAGTATTTGCTTTGCTTAAATCTGTTCCTAGGCTGCCACAAACCAGGATTGCTCTATTGGCTTTTGCCTTTTAGAGATGCGAGAAGTTTCTGAGCTGGTGTGTGCTGTTTCGTGAGGATTGTTTTTCAGTCTTTGGATGTTGTGTCCTTTGCTCTTCCCTTGGGTAAGAGATACTCTGATGGAATTGCCTAGGAATGCTTGCTTGTTTTAATCACGCATCATCATGATCAAGAAACAAAATTGTGATGCTGTTTTTTTCCAGTTAGGATGAAGATTAAAGTATGGTTAGTAGAGCTTTAATTGTGATGCAAGTACCTGTGCGAGCAATAGTCTTAATATTGCCTCATTTGATGGTCAGTCTTTGTGGCTGTTTTCTGTATAGTGGGTTTTATGTTTTCTTATAGAGATGCTTCTTAGAACAGAACCAATTTTGTCAGTAGAACCTGATTTTCTAGAATTTTGTGCCAGTTACTTACTTGACTGTTTTCTATTTAAGCAGACCTCATAATAATGGAATTGTACGTATGATTATTATTGAATTCTGTTCCTTTCCTAGTAATTAGATACTCAGGAATCTCTTTGTGAAATWAAAATGACCCAGGAGAAACTTACTATGAACTGTTAAGTGTGGACCAGAGAAGGCTGTATGTATGTAGCCTAATAATTAAGCATATCTTAGGAAAAAAGAGATTGCAAGTGCTCTTGCCAAGAGTTTTCAACACAACCAAGTGTATGGGCTCGCAGGTGGCTTTTCCCAGTTCCTGTTTAGACTCTCTGCATGACTGTAAGTAAATAAATCACTCTTCACCTCACCTTTTTCGTCTTTAAAATATTGATACCTCCCCAATGCCTTCAGGAGCCTGGGAGGATACATTAGTTAATCTTGATGTTTCGTAGGTCTAAAGTGCACTGTTAAATAATGGAAAAGGAAGGCAGTCCTGGTTTTAGCTTTTGCTTTGGTGTGTTTTGATGCCACTGGCCAAGATTCATAGCCAATGGAAATTATTTATTTGTGGAACTGACACTTCAGCTGTGTCAGTTAACCAAAAAAAAAAACAAGAAAACCCTAATAATTTGTGAGGAAAGGAAACTTAGGATAAGTTTGGTCTTGAAATACAAACTGAAGGCAAAACTGTGCTGCAGGTCCCTGTAGCTACTGGCAATGGGGAGAAATCCATGCAGCAGTCTGCCACAGGAGGTCATTGTGTCTCTCCCTGGGCTTGGCTGCAAGGGGAGCACTAGGGCTTTAACAGTGAATGACTGTGGAAAATGTAAAGAAGGAAGAGGTCACTTCCTCKCTCAACCAGAGGATAAATACTGTACGGAATGAGATAAATCTTGCTCTCTGGGGGGAGGGAGGGGATAGAACAAACCCTGGTGGATTAAGGGAATGACCAGAAAAGGCTGAGCTAACGGGAGGGGTTTGGTCACCAGAAGGTCTTCCCTGCAGCCAGCAGCTGTTGATGTGCTGTGAGTGAATATTAGCGCATGGATAACACTAATCCCGCTGKGGCTAAGCCATGCTGGCCTTTAGGGCTGAGCTCTCGGCCCGGTCACAGCCCTGAGCAGTGCTGATGCTGGCAGCATGCTGGGAAGTAAAACACCTAGCAGTTGTATTAACTGAGGCTGTGCACAGTGCTTAATGTGCCAAATGAACCTGAACTGGGGCTGGGTCTCCAAAATGCTGATGGAAATCCAGTGGTGACCAGGAGTATGGATTCTGTAGTGGCAGTAAAGAGGGAATTTTTTTTAACCTTAGGCGGGTATAGTGAAAAGCTCAAAACCCAAATCGTAGGCTGTTGTGTGCAGGTGACTTTTATTCTTGGATATAAGTTTCAGTCCATGGGTACAGAGAGTATGAGAGCAGTGTAAATAAGGTTATGGTCATGCCAAATGAGAATGCAGGCTATCGCTCATTTCTTGGATTTCTGCTGCCCAATGTCCTGGGCAGGCTGTGCATTTCGTGTATGGTGCATTTTCCAGGATGTCAAGGTTGTCCAGCTTGCACCATGGATGTTTACTGGTTCACAGTACTGCCTGGCTTGGAAAAMGGCAGTTGGTTTCTGTGAGTTATTTACAGAAAATGTTGCCACTGCAGCTATTCCAGAGGACATCCTGTGCTTTCTCCTGTGCTGTATTTTGTGCTTTTCTCTCTAATTTCTTTCTAAGTTGTTGTGATTTGTMTTTTAATGACTGTAGAAATGTGATCTCGTACAAGTTATAACAGACCTGTTAAAGCCGGTGTTTCACTGAGACACAGCTTTCTGTGGCTCCTGCTCTGCTCCACTTGGCTGTCTTAGGTTTTCTAGTCCTCTTTTGTCAGCAGTTCTGCTGAGTTAACCCATCTGATTGCTGGGGCTTTTGCTAACTCCTCCTGCTTTCAGCACCAGCTCTGCATATTACTGTGTGCTGTTTTTTCATCATTTCCTTCGGATTTGCCTCTGCTGGTTTGTTGAAACCATAGCTGTTGCTCTCTTCTGAGCCTCCACTGTACCTTTGGTGTTGTCCTTGCTGCAGCCCATGGCCTTTACCCCGAGCCCTCAGCCCAGYACAGTGGCCTCAGGTCATTGACTGGCTTGTTGGTCAGTCACCTGTGTCCTGTCTGTGCTGTGCCTCGTGAGAAGAGCCCCAGCAGTCACAAACAGCAGGACCTGACTTTTTAGCTATCATTCCTGATCTGCAATGCTGCTGCTTTGCTGAGGATTTCCTGCAATGGTTCAGTGTAGTCGTGTAGGTATTCCAGGTGTGCTTGTCCTTACCAAAGTTTYTTTGCTGTCTGTGCTGTGTTGTCTAGAGAATGGTCTCATGTCAAATCACTGAAGAGTTTGTTCCATTTGGRTTTTAGTGCAGCTCTTGCTGCTTTATCCAGTCTGTTTTTTGAATGGGAGGCTTGCTGTGACACAGGAATATAGCTCTGTTTTGTGCAACTGAGCAGCCTGAGGTATTGAAGAGTAAACTGAGATTCCTTGAGGCTGGGAGCTATCAGGTGCTTCACTGTCAGCATTTCTCATGCTGTTGTGCATGCACTCAAACTCAGGTTTTTATGGCTGATGAGTGCCCCTGCTATTCTTAGATCTTTAGCTGCGAAGAGCCAATTCATCTCACAGTTTGAGCTCTTTCCTGCTGAGGGTAACTCTTCCCC